AAGGCACGGAGAGAGCCCAAGATGGCCCGAACGATGTCTCCAAGTCGGCCCAAGATGCACTCAAGACGGCCGAAGATGGCATCAAGGTGGCCCAGGACGGCTCAAAAAGCTCCCAAGAGGCCTCCAAGACGGCCCAAGAGGCCTCTAAGAGGACCCACAGGAATGCCCGAAGAGGTCAAATCATTGTTTTTCCGTAGGTTTGTCAAGGTTCTTAGATTTTGCGCCTTTTCGGCCCAACAAACCTCCAAGATCGCCCCAAGATCTTCGCAAAGGCCTCCAAAATGTCCCAATGACGGCCCCAGAAGCACCCAAGCCGGTCCCAAGAGGGCCCCAAATACCGCACAAGAGACCTCCCAGACGCTTGAGATGACCTCCAAGACGGCCGAGATGCTCTCAAGAGAGCTCAAGATGGCTGCCAGATGTCTCCAAGACGGCCCAAGATGCACAAAGACTGCTAAAATGGCCTCAACATGGCCCAGGACGGCCCAAGAAGCTCCCATGAGGCCTCCAAGAGGGCCTACAGGAAGGCCCGAAGGAGCCACAATCATGAGCTTCCTTAGGTATTCAAAAGTTGTTGTGCCCGCCGACGCTCGCACTCTGGCTCTTGTCAGGCTCAAACTGCGTTGCCTGGTACACTCTCGCAATTTCTGAAGAGATCGCGCTCTCGCACATGCCTTCCTCGCAAATTGCGTAAGACTTGCGCCCTTGTTTGGGACTTCCATGCAATTTATCAGGCGCCGCGCTCTCGCTGCTCAAGAATCGTGATCTCGCTTGGGGAGCCCTTGCCGTCTCTCCAAAAAATCGCGCTCCCTCGCCACTCAGGAACTGCATTCTCGCCCAGGACTTCCATGCAAATGAAATCGGAATCGCTCTCCCGCCCGATGCGTCTCCAAGATGTTCGGCTGCACGTAAGAGTGACCCTGGGTGAGAGTGACCTTTGGTGCGCGGCTTTTTCGGGGGCTCGAGGAGGCCAAACACAAGCGCGCAAGACGCTAATATCGCAACGAGCGCGGCGATCGGGGGACCCCAGTGAGCGCGCACCAGAGGTCACTCCGGCGAAAGGTCACTCTTACGTGTAGTCGAGATTTGCGCCCCAGAATCGCGCTTTCAAGTCCCGCCGTCCGGCCCGCCTGTTAGGGCCCGTCGGCTCGACCCACCCGTGAGGACCGCCCGCCCGGCCCTCCTGGTAGGGCCCGCCCGCCCGAACCCGACCGGCCCGCTGCAAGGTCTTGGTCGCCCGAAATGGGTACGGAAACATGGGTGCAATGCCCAACAACAAATGTTGCCTAAAACCAACAGCGGCCGCTGTCGGGCAGGCGGCCTTCTGTCCCAAACAGACGCAGGCCGCGGCGGCGCGGACAGCGAGTCCTGTTCAAAATGAACAGGAGCTGCTGTTGGGCATTGTACCCATTCTTTCCGTACCCATGTCGGTCGTCCCGAAAGGTCCTGCGGGCCCGACCCGTCCAGAAGGGTCCGCCCGTTCGTGCTTGGAGCCCCGCCGGCCCGCTCTTACCTTTGCCATCGCTCGAACGGTCCACTCCCCGTACATTTTTCGGTTTCGCGCGTTGTTGTTGTTGCTGTTGCTGTTGCTGTTGCTGTTGCTGTTGTTGTTATTCCTTTCCCCCCAGATGATCCAGGATGCTCCTCATGGCCCTCGCCGAAGAAAAACATGCGCACACGCCCGAGCGATGCCAAGTAATGCCCAGCCCTCCCGTCCGGCCCATCAAGGTCCGTCCGCCCGGCCCGCCCTTGGGGTCCACCCGCCCGGCCGGCCCGGCCGGCCCGGCCGGCCCGCCCGCCAAGGAACGCCCGCCCGATCCGCTTGTCTTGCCCTGCTGGGTTTCCCCAGGAGTTGGCATGAAGAAGAGCCCTCTGAAAGGGGTACGTTCATGAACGAATGGGGCGGGAGTCGAGGGTTTGGGGCTTGGGAGTGTGCATGTTAGTGGTCAGCGATCGCAGGGCGGTGATGGCACGAGAGTGCCACGTGCGGGTTCGGTGCCAGCCTATTGATGTCGGTGCGGCCGTCGGTGTCCGCAGGCGTGAGGGTGTATGGCTTGGGTGTAGCGGTCGAGGCAACCGGCGGCGTTGTGATCCACGCGTGCAAGGTCGGCGTCGGCGCTGGTGCGGCTGTCGGTGTGGTCGTAGGCCTGCCTGCTGTGCACCTTTCTCGCACGCACTCGGCTTGGAATTGTAGTGTATATATATAGATGTATAGATATAGCAGTTGGCTCCATCCGCGCCTCCCGTATTCCAGCGAGTAGTGACGTCGCCCACTGCCACTGCCCAGTTTTCTCACACGCGCTCATTGCTGCGTTGTAGCTGATAACGTCGGGCGCTAATTTCCCCCGTCTTATTTCGAAGAGCAGAGACAGCGCCCGTTGCCACTGCCCACATTTCTCGCATGCACTGATTCCAGCATTGCAGCAGATCACGTTGAGCTGTAATGCCTCGTTGCCCATTTCTTTCAAAATCGATAATGCATGCTGCCACTGCCCGCCTTTCCCGCACGCGCTGGCTCCGACACTGTAGCTGATTACATCTGGCTGCAAATTTGCCTCCCGAATTTCCCTGAATCTGCCTCCGTGCCGTCAGGCACTGAGTGGAGTGTCTTCAGGTCCCTGCAGCCCTCTGTCCTCAACCAAGACGACTTGTTCAATGGTGCACACCCTGGAATCACGGCCGCTCTTTGGCGCTTCTGGGCGCTCTCGGGTCTAGTCGCAAGAACTTTGCGGAACGAAGAAGGGCCAAGACGGCCCAATATGGCCCAACAGGGCCTCGAGCCGGTCCGAGAGGGCCCTAAGACGCCGAACGATCGGTCCAAGACGCTCGAGACTGCCAAAGAGGTCCCCAAGAGGCCCCAAGAGAGCGCAATAAGCACGTCCAAGAGGGCTCCGACATGCCAAAATGAAGCTTTTTTTCTCCTGCATTTTAGTCATCACACCTTTTTCCTGTATTTTAGCCTCGTTTTTTCGAGCTCTCGACGCTACAATACGGTCCAAGAGGTCCCCAAGATCGCTCCGAGACGGTTCAAGAGGCTCCAAAGAGGGGTCATAAGACGGCCCAAGAGGGCCCCAAGACAGGGATTTTGATCTGAGACTTCGCACCCTCCAACCCAAGGGGGATCCCGAGACAGCCAGCAGGCCTCAAGACGCCCTCGAGAGGCCTCGCGAGACCCCCAAGAGGTCCAAAAGAGGCCCCCAACGAGGCCCCAAGGCACCCAGAACTGCCTCCAAGAGGTTTCCGAGCGGCCTCCCAAGAGATCCCCATGCATCGAAGAGGCCTCTGACCTACAGCCAGGGAGCGGTGGTGAGATGGGCCGAAGGCCACTGGATAAAAACAATGCCCGCTGCCATTCCATGCCTTTTCCACACGCGCTGATGCCAGGATTGTAGGTCCTAGTGCCAAGCTGCAGCGCCTTTTCCCTCGCTTCGCTCAGCAGCGAGAATGCCCTCTGCCACTGCCCACCTTTCTCGCACGCGCTGATCCCCGCTGTGTAGCTGATGACGTTCGGCTCCAGCTTCAACTCTGCTGCCCCCATCTCCCGAAGCAGCAACAATGCCTGCTCCCAATTCTCGCCTTTCTCGCAAGCGCTGATTCCAGCACTATAGCTGATGACGTCTGGCTCTAGCTTGATTTTCCCCATGTCGCTCAACAATGATAGCGCCTGCAACCACTGCCCGCCCTTCCCGCACGTGTTGATTCCTGTGTTATACGTGATGGTATCTGGCTCCACTGTCGCCTCACCCATTTCTGCCAGCAGCGACAGCGCCTGCTTCCACTGCGCGCATCTGCCGCACACGGCGATGGCAACGTTGTATGTCGTTGCGCACGCTCGTGTGCGGGACTGCCCAGCCGCATGGGACACTTTGAGCGCAACGCTCCACTTCGCCGCATCCCCACAGCTATTGATGGCGGCCGCGAGGGAGACTTCGGCTGCCCGAGATCGCTGACGTCCCACGTCCATGCGGAGACCAGCACCGCTGGCGCAGCAGTCTTCCTCCAGACCGCAGCCATTTTGCCTCAAGGTCACTCTGGTTCGAGCTGGTTGAGGGAAAAACTCGTCAGAAGGGAACACACAGGGGAGGATAAGGAACAGCATCAGTACGCGGGGGGAACAACCGAGAGGAGAGGAGAGAAAGGAGGGGGATCAGAGGGAGGAGTGCAGGATGAGGGAGCATGACGGGAAACAGTGAGGAGGAGACAAGAAGGAGTCTGGGCTTCCGAGTCGGCGCCCTGGTGGAATCCTACCAGCAGGGAAAGCAGGGTGAAAGATTGTGAAATGATGGGCAATTCCGATGCTTAAACCCTTGGATAAATTGGCAGGTGATACACTTGGAGACACCTGAGTGCTCAACATATTAAAGCTCAAACCTTTTCAATAACATATATGCGATTGTTGTTTTCCCATTCTCGGCGCGAGAGAGAGAGAGAGAAGATGCGGTGAAGGAGGATGTGTGACAGTGGAGAACAAGGTGGGGATAGAACTACGCTTCGCCGGGAAACGAGCCCACTTGCCCATTAAAACCAAGGATAGACACTGCTACCGCGTGCTGTAGCCACTTGCTACGGCGCTGTCGAGACCTTCCGTCTCAGACCAGGCTTCGGGATTGGGGAGGTGTCTAGAAGAAGAGTGGTGAAGCAGAAGGTGCACCAGACGAAGAGCAGCGGGACGGACAGCAAGTCGGGGGCGCACAAACATGGAGTAGCGACCCGTAGACTCTTTGCGCGCGGTCGCCAGATCCACGGATCGGGGGAGGTGCCCTCCCCCGAGTGCGGCCGATGCCGCCCCGTGCGGCGGCGGACATCCGCGATCTCCCATGGAAACGGGGCCCGTCGATAATCCACGCACCCTTGACCCGTGCTTGCGATCGCCTGCGTAAGGCCGTGCACCCGGCCTGGGCGGGAGCAGGGGGGCGGGCGCCGGCGCCCGCTCCCCGCGGCGGCGCCTTCTGCAGCAGGGCCGGCCCGTAGTACACCAGGATGGCGGGTCCACTGCCTGCTCGTGCTTTGCCCCTCCGCCTCCTCCTCCTCCTCCTCCTCCTTTTACTCCTCCTTTTCCTCCTCCTCCTCCTCCTCCTCCTCCTCCCCCCCTCCTCCTCCTCCCTCTCTCCTCTCCTCCTCCTCCTCCTCCTCCTCCTCCTCCTCCTCCTCCTCCTCCTCCTCCTCCTCCTCCCCCTCCTCCTCCTCCTCCTCCTCTTCCTCCTCCTCCTCCTCCTCCTTCTCCTTCTCTTCTTCTCCTTCTTCTTCTTCTTCCTCCTCATCCTCCTCGTCGTCATCATTTCCCAGCCCCTCCTCCTTCTGGAATGGCTCCACGATCGCCCAAAAAAGAGAGCGCCCAAAAGAGCACCAAGAGTGCCCTAAGAGGGCTCAAAGGGGTAATGTTTCGGCGTCCGATGGGGGTGCTGACGTTAAGACCGCCACCTTCTTTGATCGATGGCATCCAAGATGGCCCCAAGAAGGCTCCCACAGAGCTCCAACAGGGCCCCAAGAGGGCTCCCAAAGAGAGCCGAAGGCTCCCCGAATTGCCCCTAGGTGGCCCCAAGAGGCTCCCAGAGGTCTCTTAATTCACAGTTTTCGGCCTCAGTGCTCCACGATATGCTTACCTACGCTCTTCCTCCAGCCAACGCTCCTGGGCATCTTTTCTGGATGGGCTGGTGGGGATACTTTTTTGTCCGCGAGCGATACCCGTCAAAAAGTCGCAAAGCAGCATGCCACGATCTAAATTAGACCGCGCGCTCACAGGCGAACAAATTGCAACAGCTGCAAGGATGGAGGGCGGATGGTTTTCAAAATGTGGCTCTCACTGTAGCGCCACGCACGTTCGTCTTGAACTTTCGCAGTAATGTCAAATGGAGTGCGGGTGGTTTTCGAATGTGGCTTTCGCTTCGACGCCTCAAGCTTTTGCAGCAGCTGCAAGGATAGAGGGCGGGTCTTTTTCAAAATGCGGTTCTCGCATCCGCGCCGATGTGGCAACATGCTCAAATATGAAACGCGGTTCTTTGTCAAACTGTGGTTCTCGCCTCAGCCCAGCGCAAATTCGCCTTAAACGTTTGCAGCAGTTTCACGGGTTGGGTTGGTTGGAATCTTACGAGGGGCGTTCTGGCACGAGGTCGGGCTGCCAGGACGTATCAGTCACGTTGATTCGCAATGTTGAAGTCTCAGGAATGGCGTTCGGGGGCGATTCAGGGTTGTCATGGCGCTAGCACTCACGTTGATTCGCGGCGTTGAAGTCTATGGCATGTTCTAGAGCTAGTGTTTTCCAGCGGAACGCGTCCCACAAGGGCCTATGAAGAGGGAGTTCGGAAGGAAGGCTTATTTCAGCATCGTTGGTGTGACTTTGGCATATACTGGTCCTCCTCCTCCTCATCATCGTCCTCTTCTTCCTCTTCTTCCAATCCTTTGTCTTATGAGTAACTTCTCCCTGTCGCATCCCCAGGCGTGTCATGACGTGTCGATAGGGAGGACAAGGCGTTTCGCCCCCAAACTTCTCACCATTCATGACCAGGAAGCACTCGCTTTCAAAAGGTGACTGTCGCCACAACGCCGCGGCCATTCGTCCTAAACAAATATGGCGCGATTTCGGGCGGTCAACGCGCAACATGGCGCAGCCGTCACGGTGGTTCGCCGTGTTGCACATCCCAAGAACGATGCAATGACACGAGTTCGGTCTGTCAGGATGCCAACAATCACATGCATTCGGCGTTGAAGTCCCATGGACGGTGATTTGGCACGATTGAAAAATATCAGACGGTTGTCTTCCCGAAGGGCCACTTCCTGCAATGTAAATGAATTTTTGTAGGGGCCCATACAGGAGGATTTGCTTATGTTGTCTGGGCGAGCGGGATGTCTGACAAGGGGGGTTCCCCCAAAACCGATGTGTCGCGACATGTTTCCAAGGCAAGCGCCCATCAAACGCGTTCCCTCTTGTAAGGGAGCTTCACGCGGACTTGTTGTGCCAGTAAGCCAGCGGCCGTGCTGACCAACCCGCATAGATTTGGTTCTATACACCAGACAAAACTGCAGTGAAACAGAATGCTCGCGATGTCATACAGGCTGGCAGGGCACATGCAGGAAGAACGAGGAATGGCAGACGAGGAACGATTCCAGTCTAGAGGAGGTGGCACGTGCATCACGAGAAGGAGAGGTTACGAACAAACTGGGCAACAGCCCCAAGAGGGTGAGACCTACATGTAAGAGCCGCCATGATCAAATGCCTTATAACATAATGTGCGCGCAGTCATGCCGGCTTGCGGCGCACGTGCAACATGTACGCAGAATGGCAACATACGCCGGAGGCACATATACATATACACATATATATACACATGTATAAACAAAACCCTCTATACACATACATGTATGCAACTGTGATCGTCGAGCAGAAGTTGTAGCCACAAAGATGTCAGTTCCTTGTTGTTTAAGAAACTCACAAGTACTAAACAGGTGGGCGACCACCTTTCCATGGCCGGCAATCCAGGGTGAGCGCAAGTGCGTCGACAAGTGAACACACAGACAGTCATCATTCACTGACAGCGCAGCACGCCGATCCACCATCAAGCAAGTAAACCCGCACAGAAGGTGCCCTGATAAAAGAAGACGGCTCGCACAAACAGCAGCGACTCATCTTTGATGGACGCCAACAATTCTGTAAGCAAAGGGTAGTGAAGAACCTCCTTGCGTGACTTTCCCGGCCGCAGTGGGCTGCACCCTACCTGTCCATGAGTTGGATTCACGCGTGTTGCACTCGGGTCGTCGGCAGGCAGCCCCTAGTGGGCTGCCGTGAGCCACTCTGGAGGGGAGAAAGATGAGAGGCAAGATATAAGCATTCAAGGGAGGGACCGAGGAAGTGATGGGAGCAGGGACGAGCGCAGGGGGGCCGCCGCCGCCGCCAAACGCGCTGGGCTGCCGTCCGAGCGCTTCAAGCAGGAGCGCCCGAACGCAAAACTGGGAGCACACATCAGGAGAGCCGAAGTCGCTTCTCAAAGTGCCCCTAAGGCGGAAAACTGGCGTAAAAGAGAAAGAGAGAGAGAGAGAGAGAGACAAAGTGGAGGAGGAGGAGGAGGAGGAGGAGGAGGAGGAGGGGGAGGAGGAGGAGGAGAAGGAGGAGGAGGAGTAGTAGTAGGAGGAGGAGGAGGAGGAGGAGGAGGAGGAAGAGGAGGAGGAGGAGAAGATGGACACTCCCCGCGGGCGCAGCGCAGCCAACCTACCGCGCTCACCAGGACGGCCAAGACGGCACACGAGAGCCAGCATTCCGCAGCGTTGCTCCTGGTCGAGGCCTCGTGAGCGGCGAGGCGCGCACCGCAACCGAATTGCCCTGGCACGCGCCGCAAGCGGCTGCGGGCACGGCGGGCACGCACCACTAGGCGCGCAGCGAAGAAAGAAATCCGCGGCATCGGACCTCGACTTTCGTGGGTCAGCCTCGAGCGATCGTGGTCCTCCGACAAAACCACAGATCGCGCGACATTGCCCGACTACAGCGGCGTTCAGCTTTGAGCGCCCGCGCCGGCGTCAGGGCCACCAGCTTCAGCTTCGGTGGGCCCGTGTCGTCGCTGATGATTCATCTTCTGCAGAACATGAAAACCGTGCGCTCGAACGCAGAAACTGTGCTACGAATGGCATTATGCGGCCACGAGCCGCCCGAGAGCACGTGCCACAACTAAACACAGCGCAAAGGGATGGTCTGTGCGTGTTTCAGCAAGCGAATTAGGCGCACTGTCCCTCCCCCTCCACGTCTCCATGATTAGATGGGTATGCAGTCCCCAAGTCCCCACCCCCACCCCCACCCCCATCCCTATTCCTTATTATTATAAACCCCCACCTACCTCGTATTCCGGCCGATAGCGGCCCAATCCGGGACCTCCCATCCGGACTGTAAACAAAATCAATACAAAGTGGTTTTTTTCTTCTCAACATGGTCTTTCTTGTCGTCGACGATGCGAAAAGCGTGGCAGGAATGGGACGCGGCGCGCATCGCGCGCGGCAGTCGATCTGGGCCCGCCCACCCTGACTGTAAAAATCAATACGAAGTCTTCGTTTTTTCCTCTCAGCATGGCCTGCCTTGTCGCTGACGGTGCGAAATATGTGGCAGGAATGGGACGCGGCGCACATCGCGCGCGGACGTCCATGCGGGCTGCGGGCCCTCCCAT